CCTGAGTGCTGGGAATTACAGGCATGCGGCACCAAGCCCGGTTTCCAGCTACATGGTGGGTGCCCTGGGATCCAGGGCCCAGACCATATGGAATGCAGTGCCAGGGATCAAACTCGGGGTCCTTGTGCTTGCCAGATAGGTGCTTACGCCTCTGAGCTATCTCCACGGCCCCTCCCTCACTCTTCTCTACCTCACCATCACTCCATGTGTTTAGTGCTTCTACTCTATGGCTAAGAAACCACATACTCAAGGATTGCGGTCCATGTAATGCAGAGATGTCACTAATGGCCTTCTATGTGCACTGTGCAATGAGCCAGCCACTGAGCCCACACAGCCACGGAGCCCCTGAGAGCCACAAGTCCACACTGAGATGCTCCACAGATGCATACTGCACACCCAGTGCAGAGGATGAGTGCAAACGGAAAGCACAAGCCGGCTCATTGACATGGACACTGGCCACATGCAGTGGCACCTCGGTCCACGAATGCTTTTGTTTATGAATCATAATTCGGTGTACAAATAGAAGCATTTAACAAGATTTTGATTTTATTTTCAAACTCTCTGTTGGGTGGCCAACAGGACCATGGCCGTCTTTCCCACACAAACACGACTGTGGCCATCTCTGCTAGGACTGGAAAAAATTAAGCTTGTGAACATCTTTGGCATTTAGATACAGTTTGTTTTTTTTGTTTTCTCTTTTTGAGATAGGGGCTCTCTATGCAATTCAGGTTTTTTCTTTCAGGTTGACCTTGAAATCACTTTTTTTTTTTTTTTTTGATACCAGAGACTGAACTCAGAACCTTGTACTTGCCAGGCAGGCACTTATGCCACTGAGCTATCTCCCCAGCTTGAACTCACTTTGTAACCCAGGCTGGCCTCAAACTCACAGAATCTTCCTGCCTCGGCCTCCTGAGTGCCAGAATTACAAACTTGTACCACATCCAGCTAGATAATGAGCTTTTGTGTTTTGGGTTTTCTTTTGGTACAAAATTGAATTCAAGAATTGAACTCAGGGCCAGGGAGATGGCTCAGTGGAGTAAGCGCTTCCCTGGCAAGTGCAAGGGCCTGAGTTCAATCCCCAGTTCCGAAAAA